ATGCAATTTCTCAATTTTAACTCGTTGACAGTTTATCCCGGATAGAACTTCAAGTACTATACAAGAACTAATTACTAGCAAGATATATATAAAACATGTTTTTTTATGTTTTTTAATTATATACCGAAGTGCTTTCGAACATAAAAGTATTTGACATTTTTTGGACCTGAATTAGTAATTTTATCACACTGTGAAAGGGTTAACGAATGATACGGTAATATAGCGATCTTCTGAAAACTCCTTTTTCGTACAATCTTTATGATAATTTTCTTCTCAGGGTACGTTTGACCGTCTATATGGATTTTAATATTAAGATCCTTGAGAAATTTCCCTTTGGTGAACCAACATACTCACCAAGTTACACGTCTTCTTTTCAATTAGATCATCCGTCTTTAAATTTTCGGAAAGATAGCGTGCCATTTTTAATTTCGAGATGATGCATATGCAATTTCTTAACTTTAAGGGATGATATGGTAATGCTACGATCTTCCGGAAATTTCTTTTTGTTTATAATCTTTACTATAATTTTCCTCCAAGGGAAAATGTATCTCGCGAAGTATAAAGAGGGGTGCGTTTGACCGTCTATATGGATTTTAGTGTTAAGACCTTTGAGAAATTTCGCTTTGGTAAACTCTCCTCGGCAATTGCCAGATTATAAGCAATCCGAATGCGCAGGGAAATCCGGCTCGTTCTTGTAACTTCTAAAAGATTCACAACAGTTGCATTTATCCTTCGTTTACTTCGGAGCCGGTTTCGAGCCGGTACATTCGTATTTTCTTCCTGCCGAGCTTCCTTCTTTTGAGAAGTGCAGCTTTGTAACATCAGTCGCGTAGCAGTTTCCCGGGATTATTCTGCCAGTAACCTTTCCACCAAGTTTTCAGAAAAATTCATTACGTCTTCCGGAAGAATATCGCCGCGTTGCTGAATAATATCGCTATAGGCTGAAATTCGCCGAGTAATTTTTATCGCGGCTGTTAAATTATTTCGCGTAAAAAAGGAACTCGGCGTTCATTCGAGTGCGAACACAGCGAAGCGAAGAAGAATGAAGAGCGGAAAGTCCTTAAAGGTGGTTTACAAGAAAACTGCACGCGAATGAAACGTCCTCGAGGTCTCAGTCGCACCTGAGATCTTCCCACCTCGTCTCGCAACGTTAAAGTAGCAATCGACAGCGAAGTCGAGCATAAAAAAGGAAGTTTTCTTAGCACGCGGCTGTTACGTAGCATGCCAGGAGATTCGCAACTGTTGCATCCGTCTTTGTTCATTTTTCTACCCTTGTTTCGCGTTCTTCCTCGTCGCTGCCGCATCCTTCACCCTCCGCGAAGACACCGCAAAGAGGAGGCACGCGTGGTGTCAGGGAGGAAGAAGCAGCGAGAGGAAGAAACGAAGCGAGACGAAGATAGAGGAGAGGCGTCCCGACGCGGTGCGTCGCGGTGGACAGACCGTGCGCGTGGAAGAATCGCAAGAAAAGGCGAGGGGCGGAAAGCCACGCAAACGAAACGGCACGAACGACCGTGAGCGCCCTCGACGAGCGGCGTCGGGACGTTGAGCGTCGCGGCGCGCCGTGAAAACCGAGGGACGACGGCGTTCGAGTCAGTCTGCGTCCGCCAGTCGTCGCGACGTCCTCGCATCGCGGTGGCCTGCGCCGATTCTTCGTTCATACGTGAACTATCGCATAACGAGGGACCGACGTTAGCGGCTAAAGTCTTTCCAGGATATCCTCTCGCAAATTCCGCACCGTCGAAACGGAGAGACGTCCTTCGTGTTCCTCGGAACGTCCCGTTCTAATCTTCGCATTCGAGAACGTTCGTTTTTCTCGCCTTCGAATTCTCTTCCCCGAGGATAGTCTTCTGTGCGAGCAGGGCTGGCCGGGTGTCCTCTTTCGGAAGATCGAGACCGACTGTCGATCCGCGATCCGTCGTAGAGTGTCACGAGGACTCTGACCGAGTTATCACGGCGTGATCTCGATCGGTACGCAGCCAGGATAGTGTTTTCACGGGGGTACGTACCCCTGCGGATCACGAGTCGCGAAGCTCCGCTGCCATCGAGGATTCACCTTCCTGTCCCGGTCGCTCTGTGCCGTATTTCGCTTTTCTCTCTACCGTTTCGCCACCTTTTTTCCTCGCACCTGTGCACGCCGAACGCTGCCTTGGCACCAGCACACCGGGTGCGAGCGAGACTAGTCGACGTGGAAAGGAACCGAAGGGGAAAAACAGAAAACTCGAGAGCCTGCTCGTGGACCTCTTTCCGATTCTTCTCTTCGCTCTCTCCTCTCGAATCACGAACACACGGTGTGCACCGCTGGATGGATCGTCGACTCTGATACTCGACCCGATATTTGTCCACCATTGTTCGGTGAGTAATTTCAAAAGTAGACATCCGTATGTGCACCTCGCGCCCCCGTCACTGTGTCGCGATTCATTAAGCGGGATTATCCTTTAACTCGATTTCTCTCGCATTTTTCCGCCGCACCACGTTTGTTGCTTCCGCAATTTTCCGATAAGTTCGAAGCGTTGCCTTGCTCTTTCTACGAATACTTCCGATATTCGCCATTTTAAACGATCGTTTCAGATGATTATCAATTATTTTTCTTATTCGTCACGATATTTATCGTTAATCACGAATTTTCTTCTTTTTCCTTCGATTTCGTTTTAAATTCCATTTGGAAAATTTCTCTCCCACTTTCGGGTCTATCGTCTCTCCCCATTTTTCTCCCGACATCAGGCAAACATTAAGGCGTGAAACATTTTAATCGCGAACGCGTTAAGCCGGTCATTCCGATTTCTCGTACACCTCGCATCCATTTGCAGTCTGGCGATAATTTTTCATATAATGAAAAATGCATCGACGTAATGCGCGATTAAGATAATAGACTTTTACCGGCGATTCCGTTGAAAGTCTGTAAAATCGCGCCGATGTCCCTTAAAATTCTGGACGGTGATTAATGCGTGATCGTTACACGGGAGCAACTAGCGTCGGATTAATTTTCACACAGGCACGCGGTGTGCCGCTAGATTCGAACAATAGTAATTAAATTCTTTGGACGCTAATGACCGCAAGCACTTGTGTCTCGTGCAAATGATATTTAAATTAGTACGCGGCCTGTATATTAATCGTGCCAAACAGAGCACATTTTCGTGACGATTGTGCGACTTCCGGAACGTTGTTAACTGATCCAGCAACGGTAATAAATATTTTCGCGTAATTTACATTCTCCATTCCCCCCTTTTCCCGCAAGCTCTTGAATATGTTTAGCAAACGGGTCCGCCGTTGCCTGATACTTAACACAGTTCTCGCGTAGCGAAAGAAAGGGTTCATAAAAATGCACCCCGATCCATTGTCCGCCTTTGTTATTACGTTAACAACGCGTTGTTCGTGAATAATAAATCGTCGAAATTTTCACGCTGCCCGCGTTAAAACGAAGCACGTTATTCACGATTTTCGCCAAGGGGTGGCCCAGAAATTCGCGCCGCGACCAAGGGCAATGCGATTTTAATAGATACCAGGATGCGATGAACGAAGATAGCAAAAGTGGACGTCGAAGCGAATTTTATTCCGCGTCCACAACGATTACGCGACACGCGATCGTTGAAAAATCACGATGTCCTGAAAAATCGTAGATTTACACGGATCGTAAGTGCAGAGATCGGACGATTGCACGGTGTATAAATAATCCACGGATAATTGTGCAATAACCACCCTTTTCCCATGTACACGAGCTTCATGCTTAAGATCGTTATCTCGACGTGGGAGAAATTTATCCGAGGTATCCATTTTTAAAGCACTCTGTTTTTAATTATTTAACGTCGAGAAGTACATTCTCTTTTTTCTTATTTTGTTTAATAAACATGGTAATTCCCTATGTCGCGATATTTATTTATTTATTTATATTAACGGGTAATAACCCTTTGCTAACAAGAAAAATAATGATATAGTACAGAGTCGTCTAGAGTTGTTGCTGGCCAATAAAAGATGAAATAAAAGTAATGAAAGAGTAAGAGTAGGTAATAAAAAAGTTGTTGTCGACTTAAAATGAGTGGGTGAACAGACAAAATTTTAGAATTGGGAGAAACACTTAACAATGTAATAGTGTGCGAGGTATCGAAATTAAATAATTCTACGATTTAATTATTATACGATTTCTTATTTTTGAACAGACAAAATTTTAGAATTCGAAGAAACAGTTAATAATGTAACAGCGTGCTAGGTATCGAAATTAAATAATTCTACGCGTCAATTATTATACGATTTCTTATTTACTGCTCAAAAAATATCATCAGCCTTATACTAGAAAATTTTTCAACTCGAACCCTTCTTTAACCAGAAAATCGTCGAGCGCAAAGGGTTAACACTAATAAAGATTCTGTTGAAACAGTTGTAGTGATCGTAAAGGTGCTTGCGTCGTCCCTGTTTCAAAAAATTACGGTATCTTAAAAATACATAGGATGAATCTAAATGAAACATACATCAAATTTGGGAAGAAAATATTGTCAAAACAAAATTACCGAAATATTAAAATTACTTTCGCACAGTGTACGATTGACGTTTTCATTTTCGAGTGTGCACCCCTGGCAATAATTTTAGAACCGACCGCGAACCTGGGATCACCGGGACGATATCGCGGTGGAAGATCGATGGCAAAGAGAAATAATTACGAATCATCGAAATAGGTATATCTAGCTTCTCCGAACATGCAGTGAAAATGATTTCGCGTTTCTTCGTCGTTGTGTTCCTTGCTTCAGCCTGTCGGTCAGCGCATTCAAACGTTTGATTCCCTCGTTGCGTCTGTGCGATGCAATTTCTTTTTTTCTCCTATCTATCTGCCTCTCTCTCTCTTTTTTTAATCTTCGATGAGTGTAGTATTTTGAAATGAAGCTGCAACCGGCGAGGTATTTTAAAAGTACGAAGAGCGCGCTGCGATGAGGCTTGCCCGCCATGTGTGTGCAGTAATTTATTTTTTTCCGCCTCTCGCCATACGATGGTTCCTCTCGGTACGCAGTGGCCGTTCAAATATTTGACGGCTGGTTTATGGGAAAGAAACAGGGAGACGTTGAAATTAACGATATTACGACGGGGGGGAAAAAAGCGCGAAATAAAAATTCAGACGATCGCTTCGATTAATTTCGCTCATCGATCGTTTCGTACCGTCCGTTATCTCGTGTATATTAAATTCTTCCTTTTTGCCACGGCGGTCCCGCGGCAAACGAAGCGACAAGGGTGGTTCCGCGAAGGTTTTATAAACGCGCGGAAAGTTTCATGGAAATTGGTTCGCTTGGTTTGAATTCCTCGTGCAACAGAGTGCCTCGGACTCCAAATAGACAGGAGGCGAGAAAGTTTCTAAATGATATCTAGCTTGTAAGTTCATAACGAAGGGTTTCTACCCTCAATCATAACTTACGAGTTATTGGGAGGCGGCAGGGGGAGTTTCGTAGCCGGTTCAGCCCCGCCGCAGACGGTGGTGAACCTTCCTCGCTTGGCCATCCCGGTGCCTTTATTTTCTTATCTCTTAAATCTTCTTATCAATTTTTTATGAGACCCCTCGAATCTAATTGCTCGCGGTAATTCCGTGACGAAGTTACTTATTCGGGTAATAAGGCGGCATGAATTATTGATGCTATCGGCGATGTTTTAATCGTTTATAAATTCGCGGGAACAACGGGGAGAGCAGTGATCGGAGATGAGATAAAACGAGAAGCTTTAATATGGTAATTGGACGAATTTTGCAAGGAGTATAAATTACGAAGTAGAGATCCGAGATAAAATAGGTGATGAAGGATGTCGTGGAAATCTCGTTGCTGGTATTATTATTTCTATTTTTTTACATCTCTCTCTTTCTCTCCTTTTCTCGTTCGGTTTAATTTGTTAACACGACGAGGGAAAAACGAGAAAAGTGGAGACGTAATGTTGTTATGCGTATCGTGGCTTATCCTTTATTTTAAATTGGCTTGATAATGGAATGATAACATTGATATCGATAACCGTACGCGAATATATTAAGCTGAATAGCACTCGAAATTTATGCATCCATTGCGGAAGCACATTAGATTAATCACTTATTAATCTACAACAAATATTCCGCATATATTCCCCTCAAGATGAGATATACGAGCCCGGTTCTATGAAATATAGTACTGTTGCACAAACGCCGAACAGACTGAACCCTGTTTTCAACACGTTCCATCTATATTACCGTAATAAACAGTTTGTCTCGTTAGTTATTGGTTGGCACGTACAACGTTAAGGGGTAATTAATTAAGGCACGATTGGTAATTCAACAACTTTTGCCTATTTAATTTCTTCGTTACTCGGATCAGTCGTATCATGGACTTATCGATTCTTTCTGTCACTCGAGTGGTTCGTATCATAATTATCTCCGTTTACCAATCGTGATATCCTGTCTATTTCAAATAGAGGAATAACTAAAAATTACACGTTCTAATTATTCCCAATATTAAACCAATAATTTATATCGCAATTAACTCTTTGACTGCCACGCCGAAATTGCATGTTTCGCTCAGGACGCCACGGAAGTATTTTTATTAATCAAAGCATATAATGGAAAAATAGCGATAAATTAGTGATACGAGATAATATTTTTACCCAATGGAGCATTTATCGTGCGATTACCTTGATGCCTTGGTAACGATTGACAGCGACACAAACTGTCAATTTTCAATCAATTTTTACAATTGCAAGTATAATAGTTCAAGCCCTTCGGTCATCAATGACCACCATGGCGTCACAGGAGAAACCATGGCCGGTCATATATGACCAACGTGCCAGTCAAAGTGTTAACAGGCAGAAAGGAGAAAAAATAAGAAGAAATTCTGATTGTGGCAATTTTGATCATGCTTCCACGTGATTATTCCAATAAAATTTTCCAATAAAAGATTCGAAAAATATCTTATTGGCGGTCATGGGTGACCACCGTGGCGCCTTGGTAGCGATTGACAATCGACTAACTGTCAATTTTCAATCAATTTTTACAATTGTAAGTGTAATAGTTCAAGCCCTCCGGTCACCAATGACCACCGTGGCCATATACGACCAACGTGGCAGTCAAAGTGTTACAACATACCATTTTGTACTACGCCATTACCCAAGTAAACCCTAAATTCTGTCACTCGAAAGAGTAGACACACAAAAATACGTATCTCCAAAATTAAAAAAGCTCTGCTTGCATGCACAGCTTGCTCGATCACTCGAGCTTCCGCAGGAATGTATCTGACTGTAAATAATCAATTTTTCCGTTTCATTGTTCCAGGTGTCCGAGCAGTGCCAAGGGAGCACGTAGCCGAACGAATAGAGAAAAGTGACGTATGTAAGTGTGAAAGTGAGCTGAAAGGAGCGAGCAGAAGTGCAAGTTGGCAGGCCTACTCCTTCGATCTCCGGTATCCTGTTCGTCCGACAGAAACGTAAGTTAATAAAAAATGTCATGTCACGTGAACGTTCAACGAGTATGTTATCACCTTCCCTATGTCCAGTCGGTACAGTCCTAGACAAGAAGGTGGACGCTGTACATCGTTGATAGGCGTCTTGGTTGGTGAACGGGTTAACATGCTGGAAAGAATTTCGCGTTAGAACGCAGCGAAGCACTTATCCTTACCCTCGTGTCAATGATTATAGCAGTTGCTTGGATAAATAACTAGAAATTGGGTAAATATTGTTCTCGTTAGAAGCGCCGGGGCGTTTACGTTAGTCGGTTTAATTAGGAGGGTGCGGAGTGTCTATTCGGGACCTTTAATTCTCAGAACAAATTCGATAATTTCCAAATTTCGCGCACCTCGATATTTGTTCAAACAACTGACACTCGCGTCTATGGGAATAAAGTGGGTCGTGGTATTCGCGAGGAATTTGGCTGTCGTTCGGCACCACCCTGTTTGGGCGTATAGGGATTCTTTGAAGTCTTATTCCTCGGGAATCAGTGAAGGCATCGAGTTGAAAGTGGAGACGTATTGTCAAGGATACGTACCTCCTTCTTTATTCCATTTCGAATATTCCATTTCGAATTTTGGCTATCATCGTGCTGCATTTTATACACGGATGGACGTTGAAAGAGGATTCCCCGAATATTCGGTCGTGTCACTTGAGAATATCTTTGCTTCTCGAGGCTATTGTTTTTACTTGTCCACGATAATGGAGGTGCTGGTATATCGTTGTATATTATATCGAATGATATATTCTCCCGTGTATTCGATTTATTCGCAACAGATGAACAATCGCTTTTGCCAAATCATTTGTGTATAGGAGTAAGCATTAGTATTTCAAAGTTGACACTAGCGTGGAATGAAAGCAATCGATGCAGTAAATTCTATACACAAAGCGTGTTTACGCAGTAACGATAAGTGCTTCCCGTTTTGATCTCGATTGTTCCAGATACCGCGTTCAAAACATCGATAACTATTGTTACACTCAATAAACTATGTCTATCGAGGATATGTGCGCTACAAAACTATACGAAAGGGGATATTTACTGCGCCATTTTTCTTTCTCTCTTTTCCCCCCTTTTTCCGAGATCTGGTATACACGTTCGATATCTGAAAAGAAATTTAAGTTATCGATTGCACTCGTAAATTATCGCCGAATACGATCATTCTCGAGTAAAGAAATGTTTATACGTGAAACATATTAAAGAATATTAATATTGTACATCAAATCGTATAAACTGTAAGTTCGTTTATATTTCCTAGAAATTTTCAAACAATGCAAACAAAACGCGTTTGATTATTTTAATTATCGTGCTTATTAATTATTTTAATTTCTTCGTTCCATTCGCTTAAAAGGATTCTAACTGCAAAATGCAAAAAATGATCCAAATATGAACGAACTTATGAACTAATCCGATATACGTTCATAAATGGATACATGAATAAAATATATTAAAATCGTATAAAATACAGGAAAAATACGCGCTATGATAATCCCATTCGTATACCTTCAATGCATATCTTCGATGCGAATGTATATGATATTTAGAAACAGAAAAAAAAAAAAAAAATGGTGGAACGTGAAAACGTTATTTACTTGATATTTTTATTTTTTATTTTTTTTTTTTTTTTTTTGAGAGAGAGAGAGAAATTTTCTCATTGCACGGGTACATTTTAATATTTACCGACCGATAAAAGGTATTGTCTAGTACACGATAAATTCGTCGAATACGTCTGTATCCGTGATAGAATGATCATTTATTCTGGTGTTTATTTTCATAGTATTTGATCGAGTGACGAACTTCTTGAACGTTATCGTGTCGCGAATATTACGATCACGTGATTAATCATAGACGTCAAAAATGTATAGCAAACGCGTTCCATGATTGGTAAACATTTTACGAAAGATCAGTTACAGGACTCACGTCCATTTACTAATTACATACTATTGCTCGATAGTGTAGCGACTTTATGACGCTCATTAGCCATATGCGTGTGGGAACATTAGCTGTATCGGTTTTGTCATTAGCAGAACTTCTATTTTATGTCATAAGCTCTAAAAGTCGATGGCAATACTTTGATTTTCCCTTCCTACGTATAATTATGGACGTCATTCGAAACTATTAAAGTAGTTAGCTTTCGATGAGGGACATTGATCGATGTTTGCTTACGAAGTTTATTTGTATCTCTATCAGCCATTTTTGAGGGAAATTTCACCACTAATTCGTTCTCCTTTTCTTTGGTTATTTAATTATAAATAATTAATCGTTAAATAACTTTTCGTTACGTTTATTTCCAATTATTAATTGTCAGAGGGTGTATACTATTTGTATCTCTATCAGCCATTTTTGAGGAAAATTTCACCACTAATTCGTTCTCCTTTTCTTTGGTTATTTAATTATAAATAATTAATCGTTAAATAACTTTTCGTTACGTTTATTTCCAATTATTAATTGTCAGAGGGTGTATACTATTTGTATCTCTATCAGCCATTTTTGAGGAAAATTTCACCACTAATTCGTTCTCCTTTTCTTTGGTTATTTAATTATAAATAATTAATCGTTAAATAACTTTTCGTTACGTTTATTTCCAATTATTAATTGTCAGAGCGTGTATACCATTTGTAACATCAGTCTCGTTATTTTCTACTTTACCCTTAGAATGGGAGACATATTAGCATTAATCAAACTGAAATTAATTAATGAAACTTGCGCTATTATCGTGGACTTATCGATTTTATTTTTCATCCTCGCATCGAGTACATTGACGACCAATTTATTATAGGAGGGATATTAATTATCAAGGTAGAATAAATAAGCTTGCAAATAAATGTTGTTCACGCGTCACTTCAGTTTACAAACTCGCCATACATAATTTCAGAAACGTCGATGTTTTGCTTACCGTTGTGTAATGTTGTTTCCTCGTTTTAAATCGCGTAAACGTCTGATTAATCGAGGACCTTCCAAACTATCGATTCTATCGTTCAGAAAAATACGTAATATCTTGATCGTGGATCATCGCGAATAATGCAAAGGTGCACTTAACGCGTTGAAGAAAGATTGGAAGAGAAAATAATCCAAAGCTTTCGATTTACGATATTTGTAAAATTAATTTTGCACTTTCTCGCGGGAACAAAGAAAACTGAAAGGGCTTTAATTTACTCGATCATGATAAATAACATAATCTTACCGTAACAACGAATGCAAAACGCGTGTACGTAAAGTAACGCGTAAGAAGATAATTTGATAATACGTAGGTATGACCATTCATAATTTTCCCTCGCGAATTCGAATAAAACGGAAAATTCTTTAGCTGTAAAATCATTCCGGACATTCACACCTTTATAATTCATTCGCGTCTTTTATTTTCCTATCGATTCAGTCATTATCGTTTAATTTCGATTATTATTTTATTATTTAATATTTTTTCAATTACTCCACGCAGTTACTATCGCGATATTAAGCTCTGGACACCGTGTTTCACGATATTCCACAATATTTCGCGATATTTTTAAACAATCGGATGACAAATACAGCTCACCAGGGGAATCCGAAAATAGAGGTGTTAGAATATTTTTCCATGCGATTGTTCCCCGTTGTAAGTTCTGTTCATCTCGTAGCCGTATCGCGACTTCTCGATGCGGTGGCTCTTACTCTCTGAAATCCAACGTGTTAGTATGGTTTACTTTGAAAAAAGCTTTCGTGAAAGCTTGTGCTTGGATAAACCTGAAAGCAGCATGGGACGTAGTCATCTTTCAGGACTAGCTCGGCAGCAAAATTGCCAAATGGTGTTTCTCGTTTCGACGCCCACGGCTGCAAAAAGCGATACGTTTGGATTGAAATGATCCATTGTATTGCTTTGTATGCGAATGCAGCGTGCAATGCAAATATCTGCCGTTCCTACATAATTTCGTTTCACTGCGAATAATGATGTGTCATTGCTGCTATTACGTGTGTCGCGCGTGTTGCGTATTCCTGTAATATCGCAAAAAAGGAAACGGAATATATCCCGTGTTAAATATTTATACAACAACTTACATGCTCTCCTGTACGACTAAATTATGCGTACGTATACACGCATGCTCGTTTAGCTGCTGCCGCCGTTGCTGCGTCGGCCATGGTGGCTCCATTACGGAATTTACCTGTACAGATAAACCCTGCTTTTCCCCCTACGTCGAAAATCGTGGTTCAAGAGATTCTTTTAAATCCGATCTTCTTAATTCCACCCCCCGGAAATATCCTCGTACTGGATGCTCTTGCACGCGAGATTTTTCAAATCGGTCCGAGAAATATGGTCTCGGATATTAAATAGGTAGATCGTAAATCGGGGTAGTTGTCAGGGGTCATGGTATCGCGTTGTGTCGACAACACGCGTGCACGGATTAAAATACGTTATTAAAATATTTTATAAAACACGCGTATTCGAGTATTGAAATTCGCTTTGCGTGCTTTCGCATGGAATCTATCAATCGACGTTTTGTCGCGTTAATATAACCTCGGTATTCGAGTATTCCGTTACGCGTAAGTAATAATATTTATTATCATCGTTAACGATTGTTATCGCAATAAATTGATGGCGAGCAACGCGTGAAGTACACGCGTGCACGTGTACTCGAAATTACACGGGAAACGGGTATCCCTAGCAGTTATTCGTCGTTTGTTATTACTCGAGCGATTCAACGACCCGCTGTACAAGAAACAGACGGATGAATGTGCATCGGGTGCAAGAAAAATGTACATGAACTGTCAGGGGTGGTCGGCGGGATTGCGGAGGCTAAAAACGGAGGTAAAGAAATAAACATAGGGAAGTAGAGTGAATGAGGCACGGGAGGAGCGTATACGCAAAGAAATAAAGATGGAGGAAAATATAGAAAACCCGCGGCGGGGGTCGGGAGGGAAATAGAGAAGTAGGAGATGAGGATAAAGAGAGATTGGGGAGGAAAAGGAGAGAATGATCCCAAAACCCAACGGAGTTGCTGGCACCACGAA